TTTTATATCAAATTAAATGACATTAAATTTTCTATAACAATTTTTTTACAACCAATATAAATTGTTTGTTATAACATTATAATAAAGGGATTAACATATAGATGATTGCTTAATTTATTATTTTTTGTGCAAAATTAATCTCAACAAGAATAAATAAAAATATATAAACATTATAAACATTTCCCAAAAAATTAAAAAGATAAAATAAAATAAAGTTTAGTTTAGTTTTGACTAAAGAAAAAAAACATATAAAAACTTAAAACCGAGTTTAGTTTTATTAAAATAATATATATATATATATATATATATATATATATATATATATATATATATATATATATATTCAAAGTTCAAGGTCAAATTTAGTGTGATTATAAGTTTATTAGCTAAATTGACAGGGCGCACCTTTTATGGGGCCAGGAGAGGTTGTGGCCCCCCCTGAATTTTGGGCTAGAAATCTGATATATATGTTCAATTTTCGGAATTATAAGCCCAGCAATATGAGTTTTGGGCTGTGGCCCCTCCTGATTAGTTGATCCAATGTTTGTGTTGCCAAGAAGCTGATCCAAGATTGCAAGCCAGAGATCGTCAATCAGCTTCCGCTTTCCGCCCCAATTTCCCAGCCCCATCCTCAATCTTCGTTCAATCGCAACTCGCAAGTCACTCCGCCAAATCGAATCCGTTCATTGCCTGTCGCCACTCGCCTACTCGTCACGACGTCGCCTGTCGGAGTGCCGGGTGTTGCGCCACTGCGGACTGCGGTGCTGCTACGGTGCCACCACCTGCTGGCTGCTCAGCTGCTGCTGTATTGCTCAACTGCTGCAATCCCCAATTCCCAATTGGCCAATTCCCCATCCTCAGGTTTCAGGTGTGCTTTCAGCTTTGAGCAATTGAGCTTTCAAGTTTCAATTCAGTCCTCAGCCTGTTCTTCAACTTCTTTCCTGTTGGAATTTTAGGAATCAAACTAATTTTAGGAGTCTATTTTATGAACCGATATGATTATATGACCTGATATGTCTATTTTCTAAAATGACTTTATTGTTTATTGTTTAACTTGGAATCTTGGATATAATTGAATTTATGATCATTCTATTAGATTATTAATTATATGTGGATTTCAAGACTATAAGCTCGAAAGTTATGGGTGTTCTTTTTTCTAGTTAACTGTTAACCTATGAAATAAGACTACATATTGTTTGCCAATGCCAACAACATATTGTTTGCCAATGCCAACGACGAAGATAATAAATTAAATTTTGTTGGAGTTTTAGGAATCAACTAATTACACATTGCTTATTTTCTTATGAACTTTTTTTGATTTTGATTTCTATAGATGCAATCTTGTGAAATATGAAAACCATTCATTCTTTCTTCAAAAGAAAGGTTGATAATGATGCAATTCATGATAAAAATGAAGAGATTAAATGGCACAAAGCTTCAACAAGTGAACCACAACAACAAGAACATGAAAATCAACAAGAGAATGATAGGAGTGAAGCCACACAATCAAATCCTAATGAGGTGGTCCAAGCGGATCTTAAGCAACTAGAAAGAGATCCCGCTAAAAGAAAACAAATATGGGAATATCCGGTTAACTTAAGGGAAGAAGTAAGACGAGCTTATATGAGCTTAGGACCTTTCCAAATACATCTTAAAGAATATCATGCTAAAGGTTCAAAGAAACATCCTCGTAGATTTCAATATTCTTGGTTCAATATTTTCCCTAATTGGCTAGAATATTCTCCAACAACACATGCATCCTACTGTTTTATTTGTTTTATATTTAACGATAAACCAAGTGTGTCCCATGGTTATGATGCATTTACTGTTAAAGGATTTGACAATTGGAAGAAAGTTAATGACGGGAAAAATTGTGCGTTCTTAAAGCACATTGGTTGTTCACAACATAGAAATGTTGTTGCATTCGCTGAAAATTTGATGAACCAAGAAGCACACATTGAAAATATCATAATGAAGCAAAATGAAGAGCAAATATTGAAGAATCGTTTACGATTAAAAGCTTCGATTGACACAGTTCGTTGGTTGACATTCCAAGCGTGCGCTTTACGAGGACATGATGAATCTCCTAATTCCAAAAATCGTGGTAATTTTTTGCAACTACTAAAACTTCTAGCATCTTATAATGATGAAGTTGCAAATGTTATATTAGAGAAAGCTCTTTATAATTCAAAATATACTTATGGAGAAATTCAAAAAGAAATTCTTAGTATTATTGCAAATAAAGTTAGAAAGCATATTCGTAGTGAAGTGGGTGATTCATATTTTTGTGTCATGGTTGATGAGTCACGGGATGAGTCTAAAAAAGAGCAAATGGCGATAGTTTTGAGATTTGTTGATGTAGAAGGGATCATACGGGAAAGGTTCTTGGATTTGGTTCATGTTAGGGATACCTTATCATTAACCCTAAAAACAAATATGTGGAGACAACTTTTGCACTATGAGTTTGATGTTAGTAAAATCCGTGGCCAAGGTTATGATGGTGCTAGTAATATGAGAGGGGAATGGAACGGATTACAGGCACTTGTTCTTAAGGATTGTCCTTATGCATATTATGTTCATTGCTTTGCTCACAGATTACAACTAGCCTTGGTAGCTGCTTCAAGGGAAATTATTCCTGTACACCAATTTTTCACAAACTTAATTTTTTTTAATTAATGTAGTTTGTGCTTCCAGTAAGCGTCATGATGAGTTACAAAAGGCGAAGGCAACTGAGATTGAACAATTATTGGAACTAGGTGAAATCGAATCAGGCAAAGGATTGAATCAAGTTGGGACATTAAGAAGAGCTGGTGATACACGTTGGGGTTCTCATTTTCGTTCGGTTTGCAGTTTGCTTAACATGTTTGATTGTACTCGTGTTGTTCTCCATAGAATAATTGATGACGTATCTGCTACTTATTCTCAACGCGGAGATGCTGATGCAGCTTATTGTTTCCTAAAATCATTTGAGTTTTGTGTTTATTCTTCACTTGATAAAGGAAATAATGGGGAAAACTGATGTACTTTCTCAAGCTCTACAAAAGAAATCTCAAGATATTCTTAATGCCATGGAGTTAGTTTCAGCAACAAAGGAGAGTGTAAATGAATTCAGAAACAAGGGATGGGACTCTTTACTTGCACAAGTAAAGTTTTTTTTGTGAAAAACATCAAATAGATATGCCGGATATGAATGCTCCATATACTTCTACTCGATACCGGCCTCGAAAAACTGATCATCATGTTACTTTTGAACATTTTTATCGAGTGGATTTGTTTACAACCACATTGGACAAACAGTTACATGAGTTGAATAGTAGATTCAATGATCAGGCGATGGAGTTATTAAGTCTTAGTTCTACTTTAGTTTCAAAAGAACACCCTAAAGTGATTAAAGTTTATCAAATTTGTCGTCTTGTTGAGAAGTATTATCCCGAAGATTTTACAGAGCAAGAGAGAATCCAATTAAGATATCAATTGGAGATTTTTAATATTGATATGACAAAGAATCCCAAGCTTAGTGGTGTATCGACTATAGCTGAATTATGCAAGGGTCTTGTGGAAACTCAGAAACGTGAGACGTATTATTTGCATGATAGAGTGGTGCGGTTAATCTTGACACTTCTAGTTTCTACCGCAACAACAGAGAGGGGATTTTCAGCAATGAAAATATTCAAGAACCGTCTTCGTAATACGATGTCGGATGACTTTCTCGCAAACAACTTGGTGGTTTACATAGAAAGAGAAATTGCTGAAAACATTGATTCGAAGTCGGTAATTGATGAATTCAAAGACCTTAGAGGTTGTCGGGCTGAGTTGTAATTCTTTTTCTAGTTATTTTTGTGTTTATTTGTAAAAACAAATTTGGTTTTTTCTTGTATGTAAGAACGTTAATTTTAGTTTATAATACTTTCGGTAAATCGCCCCCCCCCCCCCCCCCCCCCCCAAAAAAAAAAAATAATAATAATAATAAATTGAGTCGTTTTATCCCTACTTAAGCCAAGTAGGATATCACGTAAGCTGGAACCAGAGCAAAGAGAATAGACAAAACAAACAAAAGTTGAGACTTTATGGTCTAATTTAGCATAATCAAATGTTTAGTGGTTTAATCGAATTAAAATCGACAGTTAAATGATCATTTGAGTCAAAACTCATTTATAAACTACAACTTTGTTTTTGTTTCTCAGTTTAATATTTAGTTTTTTAATTATACATATCAAAGGACATTTTTGAGTGATTTATTCTCTTCATTCGAGCTAAACAAGCATGACGGACGATCATTCGATTATTTTATCAACCCATTATATTATTTATTTCATTCATTTATGATTTCATTTTGTCATACCAAACACACTCTGAGTATAATATTATCAGCAATAATTGATTTGTCTTTTACAAGTTTTCCCTTGTTGCATCACCTTCCATATCTATGTTTTATTTTCCAAAATTTTAAATTAAAATTTATATCTAAACCATTTTGTTTGATTATCGTTATCGATTTTAAGATCTCGATTGTATGATCTTAAGATCCCAAAATTAAGTTTTTATCATGGTCTATAAAGAGTTCTAATTTTAAGTAAGATCTACGTCATGAACCTTCGATCTTATTGTGATCCGGTCCTACACTTTCACTTTAAGTCAACGGTTTGCCACTCTACGCCCTAGAACAAAGAAATCAGATTCGAAATTTCAAGGCAAAGTTCCGCATGAAGCCAAAAGCGCTTCTAACTTCGTCCCTTCAACTCGAAATGTGCACATCATTGCAACAAGTCTCACAATTTGATCCATTCAAATCAAAATCGACATATTCATCCCTTTGTGATACGGTTGGGTTCTTCACTTTCCATGTTCTTGTTTCTCAACTTTTCAATAATCATATGATCTTTGTGACAAGATGCAACTCTTCATTTTGTGTTTCAGTTAGTTGCAATTGTTTGCAAGTTCAAACTTCTAGGTTTTATGGACCAAGAGTGTAATCTCCTTTGCCAAAGTAAGATCTATGATCTTTGTAAAAATGAAATAAGTAACCATTTTTTTTAACCATGCTTCTTATTACAAATGTTTTCAAAGTAAAGTTATCCCTTTAACTATTTCACTTTGATAAAAATCCTTTAAATCCCAAGCCAATCTTGTAAAATGAAAAATATCATAATTTGATCAATGCATCTAATTTACTAATCATATAGGCATTTCCATCAAAACAATTCCACAAAAACAAAAGTAAAACTATTATTTACAATCAACTATTGTATCAAGTTACTTTGGTTGATGAATGTTGTCTACAAACATCCAAGATCCTGACCTTGATTGATTGTTATCCAAAGTAGCCCTAAGCCATTTTATTCTATTAGCAAGTTCTTCAAGGTCAAGAATTTATGCTTCTAATGTCTTTTTGATGCATGATATTTAAATCTATAATGTTGTAATCTACATCTTTCCAAGTATCATCTTCTTTTTCACTTTCTTCCACATGCATAGTTGAAATACTATTTGAAGAACTCACCTTTTCCACATCATCACCATCTATTTTCACTTCTTGACTATTCAGTAATTCCTCTAGTGGATCCTCTAATGAAATTACTGATGTACGGGATGTTGAAGATGCATTTAGAGGCGTAGCAATTTCCTCCTTCTCAATATACATGCCTAAAAGATTTTACATCTTACCATAAAAATACATAATCCATGAAAATTAGAATGTTTAATTTGTATTTCGAGACATATGGCATTAATTATTAGAACAAAAGATGTTGTTTTATTTAAAAAATCATTACCAGACATGACATGGCACGCTGTACTACTAATGTCAATAGGACAAAACACAACTTTTTGTCCCACCCAAAAAAGTGGGACTAATGACAAAAATTACAACTTTTTGTCTGACTATTAAAAGTGGAACAATGATTGATGTCAGTGAAACAAAAATTATAAGTTTTGAATGGTACAAAAATTACAATTTCTTGTTCCATCAAAAAAGGTAGGACAAGGACTCACTCTTAGCCTCTTGTTTGTCTTTTAAAAAAGACTAAATGCCCTCATCATCAGTAAAAACACTACAAGTTCCCAATTTAAAGTTATAGAATGAAACTAATATATGAAGTAAAGATGTGTAGATAATTGCAAGTGTTATCTGTGACAACCGTCAATTTCCGGTCAAGTTAAAGTAACCTAAAGTTAACAAGTCAAACCGGTCGACTCAATTAACCCTTCTACTAGGGCTTACGTTAGGTAATTACTATACAAATCGCTATTCTAATGAGAAATCATCAATTGAAAAGTTTGTATATCTAGATTTCCTTAACCTAAATTTGTGGTAAGTAACGAACCAAACCGATAAAACAATATTGCATACTCATCGGGAGTGTGTAAGATCCTTAAACATGGCTTAATGGGGCTTACGGACCTTGCGTTGCGAAGCCAAACACTCAAAAAGGTCACAAAAAAGCCTCTCCCAAATATCTCTAAGTATGAGAAATCCCTCCAAGTATGTGAAATCTCTCCCAAATCTCTCTAAGTATGAGAAATCTCTCCAAGTATGTGAAATCTATCCCAAATCTCTCTAAGTAGGTGAAATCTCTCTCAAATGTTCCTTTAACTTTTCGTAATCATTCGGGTCATCCCGACCCTTAACCGGGTCAAAAATCACTTAAAATGGTGTAAAAACGGGTAAAATAGCCTTAAGGACCCGGAACCCACTCCTTAGGGGCGAACCCTCTTAGGGCTGAAAGTCCTCTTAAGGAACCGAACTGCTGAGAACCGAAGCCCCAGGACCGAACCCGAAGCCTTCTTTAGGGCCCGAACCTCGCATGCGAACCAAACCCTTCGGTCCATTTCGCTTCTGATAGGTTTCGCTCCATTTCACTTCCTGACTCACCCTCGCCTTCGGTCCCAGTCTCCTAAGGACCGAACCTAACCACCTTCGCCCCCCCCCCCCCCCATGCGAGAAGCCTCGCAGAAAGGCCATTTCTTCTGGTTTTCGATCACAAGTTCATTTTAAGCCCGTTTTACATAATTTTAACGTGAGATTTTCACCCAAAATTATATTTTAACATATAAAACCCCTAAATTCATAATTAATCACTTTTTTAAGTGTAAATCTTATCCAAGATTAGTGGATAGGATATTTTGGGTGGAGTGTTGACTTTACTTTAGTGTATGACACAAGCAACCACCCATGCCCACTCAATGACCAACCCTTGTCCTTCCATAATACCTAGTCATTTCATTGTCCTTTTCCCCCTCTTTCCAGCCAAGCACGTTGACTCAAGGGTAGAAAAACCCTTATCTCTCCTCTCATTCACTCATACTTCATCAAGAAGCAAAAACTCATTCTCTCTCGAAATTTCGAGATTCCAAGGCTAATCATCATGCTTTCTTCCACTCTTGGTAAGTATAATTACCCTTCATATGTTTATTACACTTCCTTTTACTTAGATCATTGATTTCTTACACAAACACCATCATAATTATGTTAGATTCTCGAATCTTCAAGCAATCCTTCAAGTGTTCTTGAGTTGAACACTTCTCTCCTTTAACATCCATCCACTGAACTCACATAAGGTTAGTCCATACCGATACATTTTTCATGTTTTCTTCAAGTTTTAGGGGGGGGGGAATACAAGTTAAAACACCAAGAACACAACTAACCTCAAACAATAGCTTTCATCAGAAAAGTTGAGTCTTATTCACGGACTGTTTTGACTATCTTAAACTTAATATCTTTCAAAACTGTTTGATATGCAAATAGTTCAGGTTAATACCTTTAAAATGACTACTTGCACATCTCCATACGGTTTTTCTACGATTTATGGTGATTTTTACAAAACTGCCTATCATTTCAGAAACGAATTCGGACCAGTCTGTGAATATGAACATTTTAACACAAGTTAAAGACTTCCAAAAAATCATAACAAAATTTGTGAATAAACTAGACACATTTTATGAACTCTCAGAATTTATGGATTCAGTTTTCGACTTCGTATGATTTTTCTAAAACAGTGCAGAATGGTTAAAAACTAGTTAACAGCTTATAACTTTCATAACACTTTGTATTATGTTGAGCAAAGTGTCTAACGATAAGTTATAAATATTGAATGTATTTTCTTGTTAGTTTATCATCATAAACTGAAATTTAGTCATTCATGATAAGGATTCTTCATTCATTCAAACACATATAATAATCTATAATAAGTATAGTTTATGGATTTTTACCACATGAGAAAGGTTTTACTCTCAAAACAAATGGGTTTTTCATATACTACATAATAGTAATAGTTTATGGACTCATGGAACTAATGTATTTTTATAAAAGAGGTTCTTTTACATTACAAACGTTTTGGATAAACTATAATAGGTATTGTTTATGTATCAATTACATTTCAAACTTATTTACCAAGGGTTTTCAGTTCAGTTCACGTAAATCAGTTAATGAATAAATTTGTGAGTCATTCCATTCGTGTTACCTTCATGGTAACAAAGTCAAAAGTCCTGTAAATTGTAACCAGAGTCTCTTGTAAGGAGAGCGTGATAGTTGTGTATAGATCTATATTGGGTCTGACAAGCCCGCACCTGAGCTGCTTGCAACAGCTAGACCGGCAGGTCTGAGGTGACAAGTGTCATTTAACATGCGACGCCTGAAGAACATTGTATTACGAGGCCGTCTGAGTCTTAGCATGGTTATAATAGCTCACATGTGGTATTAACGAATCATATGTTTTACGGGTTCTACTTTCAAATTAGCGAGTTATGTCGATTTAACTCACATAAATCACTTTAAGTATGGAAAAATACTTGTACACTTTTATATCAAAAAAGATTTTATGCCGATTTAAAATCACTTTTATATCTTTAAGTATGGTAAAATACTTGTACACTTTTATATCAAAAATGATTTTATGCCGATTTATAATCACTTTTATATCTTTAAGTATGGAAAAATACTTGTTTATTTCGGTCATGGAATTTAGGACTACCTAACTCTTATAAGGAAAATATTGGATTTTCTTTGGAAACATCGTATTATTTCTGCATACACAATTTATTTTCTTTTATTTTAACCTCTATAAGAAGTATTTTCAGGGACTTGAAATGATCAGGTTAATATTCCTTTAAACATAAACCCTGATCTCTCAAATTTTATAAAATGAATCAAAGTACATTGCTATAATAGGAAAAAGGAAAAGTACCATGGTAGGCACTATCGAGCCTTTACTTGGAGACCAATCTAAGGAAGGGTGTAGATCCGTACAAAATGCTACATAAACCTTCCCTTGTCCAGCTGGAGGCTTTGGCAATTCTATCTACACAAGATATAAAATTATAAACAAGAAAAACATATAATAATAATTAAAAAAGTTATTACTTTTTTTTTAAACAATTACCTTAACCCTTTCATCACTCAATATTTTGATAATACTTGCCGACCAATAACAATCATCTTCAAACCAATCTACCAAATCCCCACTCTTCCATACACCATCAATGATAACACATACTTCTAAAATTGAATTCACGGGTGGCATTTCATTTTTGTGATATATTTGAGGATATTGAGGTCGAACCATCAGTTGTTTTTTAATATTCTTTGACTTTCTACCATAAGGAGAAATTTCGTATATATTTGCCCATTTAATCTCTGCAAATGAAATTAAAGTATAACTAGAAATAGAATCCATGCTTCTATGATAAAATTATAGAAAAGATTAAATGATAGAAATAGGAACATACTTCCATTCATAACATAAATCATAAGATTAGTCAACTCACCTTCATCTGGAAAATCATAGTACTCAGGTAAAATCTTGTTCTTCAGCTTATATCCTTAATCTGATGAAGGGAAAAATAATATATCATAAATCATAATTTCATTTACATTATTTACACTAAAATGACAACAGTATTAAGTAATTGAATGAAGAGATACCTTGCATTTGAACTAAGCAGAATGATACAATTTCTCAAATGTTTTGGTTTCAGCCAGTTGAACAACTTCAAACTTAAGAACACCAAGCTTCTCCATTGTCTGGTTCATGTCTTTACATTAAAGACGAGCTGAGAAGGAACCATGGTGACTCCTCCCACCTTCATCATGGTATACGCAGATCCCACTCCGCAAGATACGTCCGTCTGAAGATTCCTCAAAGATTCATTGACATACTGTATGGCATCTGAAAAGAATTACTAACCCAGACAATAGCAGAGAACCAAACCAAGATCTAACTTATCACAATTCTAAAGCGGTGCAAATTCCCGATATCCACCGGGAATGGCCGAAGATAGCATATCCGTAACATCTGGAGGAATCCTGACCACCTCTTCCTGAGTTACCTCGACCAACCTAAGAACATGATGTAACACTTTATTCCGATCCCAATGACAATCCAAACCCTTGGAAAGAAACTCCATCGTGCAGTTCCGCAAGCGTTGCACTGGATTTGTCCTGCTGGCCTCTCAAAAGCTGCCCCGAACTCTTAGGTCTCCGCTCGAGATCCTCCACTAATCAACCCGACCTGAACCTCTCTCATTGAGGTACTCCTAATAAATCTTTCGTCCTCGGTTCTGGGATCTGTATCATTCATTCAGGGTCTCGCACCCTGACACACTCACCAGCTTAATCGTCAATGGCTGAACCGCCGTAACTAGAGCAACCTCTGCTCTAAACCGGCTACAAACTATTCCCAAGACATAATTTCAAACTCCAAAAGTGCAATAGATCGCACTATCAATCCTTGCCGCCTGATACAAGAGATCCAAGGCGAACTCAAATATTGACAGTCATTCCGCTGACTGGCTCACCATTTGAGTTGGGACCAAACCCTGGTTCCACCCATGCGTTCTCATCCGCATTCTGCACCGCAGCTATCCCCCACGTCCAATCACAACCAAGAATTCTCCTTCCCGTAAGCTTCTCAGATTCTCCAAGACTCTTACCGATTCGAGTATGGATCTTGTGCTTTCAGTAGTATGGGCCCAATACTACCTTCCACACCTACCCATACTTTCCTCAGTAATCCTCCTAAATCCTTTAAGTCACTTACTCCGCCGGTATACTAAACGTTTTCTAAACAACAAGACAATCTCTACCGTAGCACCTCCTAAGTTCCCAACTTCACTGAAATGCCCCACTAAGCTCACTAAAGCATATCCTATGCTTTCCTAGGCTCCCAACCTCACTCTGCCATCAGAAGCTGAAGAACTCCCCATGATGTCAGCCATCCACCTCATAGATATCATCATATCCACTTAGTAGCTGACTCCCATCACTCAAGAGTTCCACAAAGCACAAAGCAAGCAGCATTCGTGCAGTAGCACTCTAATCCAAGAACTATCATAAAACATTCGGCCCACATACCACAACCCACGATATCCACGTCCATACATCCTCACTGTCGGTTGTCTTTATGCATGCAAATTGTACAAAGAACAGGAAACGAGTCCTAACTGTATACAATTTTTAAAACATACACTTAACAGTTATCAATACCGAGAATCATTCTCCTTCTAGCATGGCATCCAGTACTCCAAGACTACAAGCATCTCATATCAGGCCAATCTGTCACTAACAACTCGGCACTAGCATGCAAGTCTACCAGCTCATACAACATATAAAGGCATCTCTCCTAGCCTTAACTAGCATGTGATTCTCAGATTCATAAATCAAATCATAACAGATAACAAATGTGGGTATTCTGGGAAACTTACTTGAGCTAGGTCGATTGCATACGCCACACCCTTTCTTGTCTTAGAAATTCTTTACTTAAAAACATTTTTCTTTTGAAAACTTTACAGATCCTCAGTTTGAGTTGACTCACCTGAAAGTCTGTCCGATTCCTTCAAACCAAGGTTCTGATACCAATTTGTAACGACCCAATTTTCAAAGGTAAAAATTTCATTTCTAATATAGCTAAAACATTAATACCATTTATTTCAAACATTTCAAATCATCATTAAGTAAAACATTTATAAGAGTTCATCCCAAAAATTTTCATTACAGAAATCATAGGTGTGTGCATTGCGATCAATCCGAACTCTTCATTTCCAAATCGATGATACCTGAAACCATAAACAAAACTGTAAACACGAAGCTTAGTGAATCCCCCAGAGCATACCCCACACACAATCTACATAACACATACCATATTAGCTATAAAAATATACATATATCACATAAGCCATGCATATAGACATATAAGGATGTCGTTGAAACCTTCCAAGGTCTTACACCAAACGCCACGGGAAACCCCCACGTGGTCTTGACTAGCCGCCACTGGAACCCCCACATGGTCTTGGCTAATTGTCACAGGAACCCCCACGCGGTCTACACTACCAAATACAAATTATGCAAAATAAACGGACAAACGTACTGGGATGCCATGGAAACCATCCATGGTCTTATACCATGTGCCATGGGAACCCCCACATGGTCACAATCCACTGTCACGGGAATCTTCTAGGGTCTTCCATGCAAGCACCACAAAGACAACTAGCATATCAAATACCATGCATTCAACTAGCATACCACATATAACTAACTGTCATGGGAACCCCCACATGGTCACATACATAATACATAACGTATCGATAGCACATTCACAATAATCGTCACAACTAAATAAATGGGACGAAATTGATACCTTAGACCCATTGGTATGGTGAGAAGACTCAACTCGCACTGCAGAAGCTTCCCACATGAATTCCTTAGTTGCTGCCCCGCCAGCTTCCCGAGTTATCACTACCAACCAATATACCCAATTAGCAATTAGGTCCCATACTATAATCCTTAATTCATGCATGGGGTAAAATGATCATTCTACCCCTGGCCTAGTATGATCCAAACTAAGGCTCAATCCCAACACAAAAGCCCAACACTAGGTAGGCTTTCTAAGCCCACTAGTGGCCCACTAATGGCCCAATTTGCTAAATTAGGCCTAATCCCTATAATGGGCCTTACCCTAGGCCCAAACATATCATTAGCCAAAAACATCTGACTTCTGATGGCCCACTAAGGCCCAACTGTCTAACGTCCACTGCTTAGCCCAACCCAAGGCCCAAAACTGATGTGTACGCGGGGCGTACTCCTAGGTATGCTGAGCGTACTGGCTGAATGTGGTGTACGCTGCGAGTACCTGCATGTACGTCCAACATACTCCTCTGTTAAGCCACTTTTCCCATTAAGTGCTTAATACCCCAATCCAGAAGCTACAATTATAGATCCTAGTCCTCCTTAACGTCTTAATCCATAAAGTTGATGACTTAGTGGCTTTCAACCCACCAAATGAGCCCAAACTTGAAATGTGACAACAAACTTCCATGAAAAAGGCTAGATCTCATGCATGGTCCCAAATGAGCCCCAAAGATTGAAACTTTACTGCATAAAGGACTCATATGACATTAAGGATGGCAACGGTGGACCTAGAAACGTGTTTGACTCATAAAGATCCATTCTTGGGACCAAAAGAGTCCATAAACTCATCCTAAAGGAGATCTAAGAGATTAATCAAGCTCATGACTTTATACCTTGCAAAGGCCTGAAGTGAAGCAACAATCCCAAATCTCTGAAACTTCTCTTTTGCACCAACACCTTGTAATGAGCTCCTACTTCTTGAAGTTCGCCAAAAACCACCAAAAATGCACCCACAAAGCTCACAATACCCTTAGATGAAGCTACCACTCGAATTTAGGGTTTAAGATTCTGTGAATGAAAGAGAGGCGTACCCCCTCGAACTTAAGGTGCTTTAAATAGTGAGTCAACCCTTAGAATTAGGGTTTTGGAGATCCTGGACGTACGCCGGGTGTACGTGTCCCGCACCCACGATTCACTTAACCAGCACTACGTTGGGCGTACCCCAGATTACGCTGAGCGTACTCATGCGCTGGCCACTTTGCATGCATGGCACCTACTTGCCAAACATTACCATTTAAGGACCAATTCTGCCAACAACTTCAAAGTATCATAACTTCCTCGTTCTAAGTCCGTTTTTGATCAACTTTTATATCCACGGAAAGGTAGCGAGAAGCCTTACACTTCTATCAACTCAAACCGTTCTTAAGACCTTCCGAACAAAAATCCATTTTCCACAAAAGCCCAAACTGCCACTTTACCGGAATACCCTTAGGTTTCAAAACACGAACAAAACACCTGGATCACTTCTAATACATCACACGCACCCAAATGGGTCTAGATCTTTACCTTCCTAGGAACCATAATCCTTATAATGACCAACCTTCGAGCTACAGCCTCATACTAGGAATTGATTCAAAACACGGCGTTACACACATGATCCAGTTTCATTTCTCTTTGTTTTTGGCCGAAATGATTATTTAACCTTACTTATGGATGGAACAATCAAATAAAACCACATTAGTAAAAATGAGAAATTCCATTCACAAATTACCAAAAGACCTCAATTAACAAGTTTTTAAGCCATACACACACTAATAGTAGTCACAACACCCAACTTGCTTCACCTTGGTACTTTAGAAACAAACAACAACAAAAGTTTAGAAACAATCAACTTTCTCCTTCAAACTTCCATGATCCTGAATTTGATCGACTGGTATCAAGAATGCTCTTAAGCCATTTTATTCTATTTGCAAGTTCTTCAAGGTCAAGAATGGACGCCTCTAACGTCTCCTCATGCATTATATTTAAATCTATCATGTTGTGATCAACATCATCCCAAGCATCATCATCTGTTTTATTTTCTTCCACACGCATCGTTGAAATACTGTCTGTTTTATTTTCTTCCACACGCATCGTTGAAATACTGTCTGAAGAACTCACTTTTTCCACATCATCACCATCGGTTTTCACTTCTTGACTCTGCAATGCTTCTTCTTCTTCGATTGGAGCTGCTAATGAAATTACTGATATTCGAGAAGTGGAAGATGCATTTTGAGGTGAAGCAACTTCATCCTCCCTACTCTCACTATCCATGCCTAAAAGATTTTTAGGGTTGTAATAAAATCCGTAAAAATTATAATTCAAACAATAAAATTTAGTTTTTAAAGACTAAGACTGGAACTGATGTCAATGAGACAGCAATTATAGTTCTTTTCTCCCACCCAAATAGGTGGGACAAGAACTCACAT